CTTCTCGGGGTCGGTCCTCAGTGCGCCATCGCCCACAATGTACCCCAGGTACTTCAGGTACTTATAGCAGAACCTAGACTTTTTCTTTCCTATTGTCAGGTTTGCCGTCTCCAGGCACTTTGCGACTTCCTCTAGCAGCTTTACGTGCTCCTCAAACGTTCGGGAAATCACCAACAGGTCGTCCAAATACACAAACACGACTCGATACTCTGAAGCGGATACGCATCTTTGACGGTTAGAGTATTCAGTTTCCGAGCATCCAAACACAGCCGGTTTTTTCCAGGCTTACGGACCAGCGTCACTCGATTGCTCCACGGGCTTTCGCTCAGCTCGATTACTCCAAGACGCAACATTTCGTCGACTTCCGCAAACAACAGCTCCTGTACCGCCGGGGATACCGGGTAAAAGCGTTCTTTTACTGGCACGGCTCCCTCCACCAGGCGTATCTCGTGTTTTACCATCGTCGTCCTTCCCAATCCGTGCTTGTCAAAGCACCGAAATTTGTCTTTCACCTGTTCCATGCGTACTTGCTGCGACTGGGTTAAATTATGAGGTTCAGTCGGCCTACTTCTCGTCAGCAGCTCTGCCTCGATCACTTCTAATTCCTCTTCTCGTTCCAGGCCTACTATATGCGGAGCCAATCCAAACTTTCGCCAGAAATCGACCCCCAGATACAGTGCTTGCTTCAATGACGGACACAAGAATAACTCTATCGGGTGCTTCTGGCCTTTGTATGCCATCACTACCGTCACATGGCCTAGGATCTGATGAGGTGTGCCGCCCGCAGTTTGTACCGATATTGTTTTCACGTCTTTTAGCTTAAGCTTCAATTCCTCAATGATCTCTAATGCCCCTCTTCCCAGCAGGCTCACTGATGCCCCCGTATCGAGCAGTCCCATCAGCGTCTTCGGGCCCAGTCTCACGTGCGCAAACGGCCTCTCGTCCCGGCTTAATGCAGAACCGATTGCTGCACACACGCCACGTCGTTTCCTCTGGCGTATCTGGAACCGGTCCCGAGCCCTCTTTGCTCTAGTCGACCTCGTTAGGATTATTTCCGCCACCTGGCCCCCCAGTATTCTTCTTCTGGCCTGGTTATATCGCTGTCGTCTTTCCTGTAACGGCTTACGCTCGGACCATCTCGCCTCAGGTAACACCGCTTGG